TAAAATACTGACAAAAATAGTAATCACAATAATAATAATTTTTCTTGATAGCATTATCATTATATTATTATTATTATTATTATTATTATCATCATCATCATCATTATTATATGTATAATGATAACATATTAAAACAATGAGAGCAAATTCTTCTCTACTAGCGAAACCACATCTCTCGAGAGCCTCCAGTAAATAAATACTATTGATATTTTATTAATTCTAGATTTCTTATACGATACATCACTTCCATCGGCTTGTGGTTTAAAATACCATATTATAATAAACACAAATAAATGGAATGCTTATTGAACAAATACCTTCCAAAATCAATTGGCTTCCACTAGAGCATTCGAGGCGCAATAGAAATGCAAATTTCCTCGCGAACGCCAATTTAATTTAAATGGAAATGGTCATTTATATTCAGGCAGCTTTCTTTCCAGTCCATTCGACAATGACGATGTTGAAATTCGCGGCCAAAACTCGAAAACATGTGCGGCCTGGCCGCGACTTCGGCCTAACGACTTCGATAAATCCACGGCCTACGGAATTAACCTTCTATGCTTTTTGTCTTACTGTAGGCCACCCAGACGCGAAACTAAAGTGCATCAGTGAAGAACTTAATTTTGAGGAATGATAAATCTTTGATGAATATTTAGGTTGTTGGTGAACAATTATTCTACAGAAATTCATCGCTTAGATTTTGAGAAATCGTCTGGTTGGTTTCATACTTATCTGTTAAAGCTTTTTTGATGTTAAATAAGGATTTGCTCGGCAAATAGCTACCAGAAGAATTGGAACGGTTGAGGAAATGCTACTTAATTAAATCTAGAACTTTTCTCGGGATATTTACCTCAAGTTTTGGTAATATTATAATAAATGCTCGATTTAAATAAAGCTCCCATATCAATGAAGTTTTGAAACTTTACATTAAAAAAATATAACTGTGAACCATTTTTAGCGCATTTTCTCATTTGTGGAAAAAAGGCGCTATTTTTTTAAATTTGTGGATACTAAGTAAATCAAATGAATATTTTTGTTTCACGTACTTTCGTACAATTCATTGTTATTCGCTGTTCTAAAATTTTAAAGTTGTAGTTTTCAAAAATTTCTCCGTACACAAAATTTTAAGAATTTTTTCTTGAAAAGTTGAACTACGTTTACTTTGCGATAGTGAAAAAACGTGTCAATTGGAAAATCAAAATCAACAACAAAGAAGTAATCTGAAAAATGTTCAAAGTATACAGCGCTAAGGTAAAAAATGTTTTGTGGTAGGATTACCTTTGCGACTCGATTCACGAAACAGTCAAATTTTTATACTAAATCTATGCAAATGCTGAGTTCCTTTTCGAGCTAAGCTTGAAAAATGAAAAAGGAAAGGCAGTATTGCACTGCCGATGCTTGTTCGGTTTAAATCCTTCGTTGTAATACCAACTTTACTAAGCGTATTATAAGTATTTTTAATGCAAGTCCAAAAGCATATTACTAGAGCGTAAAATCATGCTTGAAACGATCTCAATTGAAAATTCGTTAATTATTTATTCAGTTCATTTCTAAACTAAAAATTCTTGAATCATGATTCCGCGTCAAATTAGAATGCGATAAAAAATTGATATTCAACGCACGAAAAATCGCAAGGGCTGCAAAATTCAACGTTAAAATTCTGCCGCATGTCACTGGTTTCAGTGCGCTTGTCGTAGCCCAGCAAAAGATAATGGGATTATAATGCGTCTCTCAGTTTCTTTCACCGTGAAGCTCTTCAAAAACCTCGCCTGCAGTCTGCAAAAAGACGGGTTTTTAATGGAGCTTTAATCATTCCGTTAAGCCAGTCTTCATTTCGTGGCTTTGAAGTGAATGCATATGGCTCAAAACGCGGCTCTTTCTAACATAATCGCTTGCCTGCAGTGACGATGACCGAGGATCTGAACTATGGAAAAATTTTAAGTTTACTAAATATGTCCAATATACAATGCGGGTGAAATCACCAGAACCATCATTCATTGATTATTCGTTCGGACCATCGTTCGTTGATTATAATTGTTTCCAACATGTCATATCGTCTCTCTCCTCACTTCTTGAACTTGATTCGTAAAAAGTATGATAAATGATGTACGCCATTTACGACTCAATTCAGCTTGCAATTCTGATAAAAATAAACAGGAAAACTATCGGCATCAAAAATTAAATAGAGAATTCCAAATTTGCCAAAAGCTGGAACATAACTAGGTACCTGTTTACTCTCAATAAGCAGTTTCTTTCTGCATTAAATTTAATCTATCGGTAGAATCTTAGAAGGAGTTTAAAATTACCCCTTATGCATTTTTATAATCTTACAATCTTTGTTAAAATCTGCAAGGCGATGCATTGACAAGACGAACTTTTATTCAAGGTTGTGGCGATGAGAGTGAATCGTAGTGAAACTACGCATCACTGGGAAAAAAGCCCAGCCTATTCACAGCTGACGACATCGCTTCAAAATTGAATATGGAACAAAGCTCGCAAACTGCCAGACCATGAGAAATGTTCCGGGCAAAGAATAATCGGCCGACTATATCCGCTTGGCAGGCTTTATACACTGGGATTGCATTGATGATTTTTTAATTGAGTGACACGAGGTTTATCGGATGCCAGCGTAGCCTAGGCTCCATCGAACCTTTGGATAAAAAGTGTGAGAGGAAAGCCTGAATAAAGCGGTAATGTATGGAAACTAAGAGGAGTTTAGTTTGCATTCGCAATACGCTTCGAAAAAACATGAATCTTTTGCCTACAGTTGACAGAATCAAACGAGAAATAGCCTGTGGTTATTGTTATTAACAGCCGTTAAAAATGCCGAGTCAAATATTTATACCCCACAGGTGACAGGTCGAATGCGTTCAGGCTATAGTACAGGATTGTCGAGTGAGTTTGCGCAAATGCAAAAACCTTGAAAACGATTAATCACGAGAATAACTTCATAAATAATTTCGGTAACTTCTTAATTCTACGAGAATAATTATAAGCGTAAAACATTAAATTATTCTCCCTTCCCAATGCACCTAATTCGTTCCCGCTACTGGCTGAGGGCTTGAGCAATACGATGATGTTGACAATGTGTTTCGAAAATTTTTGATAGATTTAATCATGGTTGGCCCATGTAAAAGTATTTTAAGCAACGGCCTAGCAGCACCTGGCAGCAACTTGGGCTGCTGTAGACTGGGTACCTGTCGTGCCCTTGAAACTGCTCTCATAGGGGTAGTACATAGCGGCTTCAGAAAGTTAAGGGTCTAAACTCTAAAGTGTTTGGTAAGGCTTCCTCATAGCCTATGCCTGTCATGCCGATGAATTTACTCCTATTAGAATAGAATAGAAGTGTCGGCGTTGAAGAAATAGGCCCATGGCCTGTTGCCGATTCTTGAACTTTTCGTGACTTGATTCACAAGGGATCCGGCCTTTGGAACACGATCTTTCCATAGCTGACGATTGATGTAGATAGCTGCTGGACTTATTGCCTGGTCCGTAATTTGCTAGGCATTTTAAGACTGAACATATGCTCCTGCATAGCTTCGTCTAGTCTTATTGCCTGGTCCGTAATTTGCTAGGCATTTTAAGACTGAACATATGCTCCTGCATAGCTTCGTCTAGTCTGTTTTTAAAGATGTTCATACTCGGAGCGTCAGACATCATCACTCTGTCGTTGTAACCGTGTCTTCTCATACTGTAATCTTGCTGTTCATTATTCTTGCCAAGGTGGATAACTTTACATTTGTCAGCGTTAAAACGCAGCTGCCACTTATCAGCCCAGTCAACCTGCCTGTCAAGATCACCTTGCAACTGTACTTTTTGCGACGTATTCTTCGCTGTATTATAAATTTTTGTGTCGTCAGCATACATCGAGCAAACGCTAGACACAGCTTCTGACAGATCGTTTATAAACGCAACGAATAGGATAGGCCCGAGAACGTGAATATTGAAGGTGATCGCCACCCTAACCTAACTAATCTCTCAGAGGGTCCCTCTACCGGTTTGAGTCAACATGACTACGGTAGGAAAAGCTTGTCAGATGGAAGAACCGAAACCAAAGCACTTGTCATCTACAAAATCAAAGTTTCGTTGAGGATTGGAACTTCTTCAACGATTCTAGAATCGAGGTCCAGTAAAGCGACTTTATCAATTTCAACACCATAGACCTATTCAGCCTATTATTCACGCTCTCGTGTGCTCGGTCCTAACATTATAGTGCAAACCAATGAAATCTCATGGCCTATGTAGAATAATCCAATAACTGCTCGAATATTGTTTCCGAATCATGGTTTCTATGGTATATTAAGATTTTCATAGTTATTCGGTATCGCAAACAACGTACAGTATCAGTCACTGGTGATTTTCTGGCGTAAAGGCAGTCATCTTTTCAGCTACCTCGGGAGCATAAAATTATGTTTGAGCTCATCAAGGGGAACACTTGGTGAAGGGGGGAAAACTAATTATAAACCAAATTAAAATTCAGCGTTGAATCTTCATGAACGGTTCGCTCGGAACAAACATGTTCTGCCACCGGCGAGACAAATAGTATTTATAGTAAAAAATGGATTATTCAATAATCCATCAAAGGTGTTCAGGAGAATATCAATTACATTAATGTCCATTCAATCTACCGAATAAAGTTGAGCATTCAAGGGAACCATCGTTGCCAGTTGAAGCTTTCTACGAAAACTGGCAGTTCAGGTCTGACTGAGAGGATGCTGGCTGCTGGGACCTTAGCGCAACTGCCTCACAATTAAACCTCCCTTGTACGCTGGATGGGTTTAATTATTCTCAACACCATCTGATCCTAGTAGCAATAAGTTAAGTCTGCTCGTGACATTTAAAGCGATAAATATTTATTACGGTATAAATTATTGAGAGGCTAGAAAAATTGGATACTCTTGATTGTTGGCATCAATGCCCAGCGGGCCAGCGTGACCTGCCCGAAAGATAAATAACTTGAAACTTCCAAAATGCTTAGTTTGGGTAATGAAACTCGGGAGTTAGGGTATGAAACTGACGCATGCTGATATTCTATACATGTTCGTGATACTTGGAGGGAATTATGAAGAATTTAGAATGAAATTTCTCATTATTAGATCACAAACATTTGTTCAAAAATATTGAGAGTAGTCGAAAAGATTTCACAGTTGCCGTTATTTGCAAACATCGACGGCGTAGGAAGTTGACCCTTCCAATACTTCGCCTACAAGGCAAAAACTGGGAATTTTAGCAATAAAATTCAATCAAAACGATTCCGAATGCAATTGCGACCAGCAACGACTAAGATAAAGCACTTTAATGAACATTTATATTTTCAAGAATTTGCAGGGTTAATAAACGAAGTTTAAATTGGGAACGGATCACTCTCATAACGGCGTTAGCCTGGAATGAGAAGAAGACCGTCAACATTCCAATTTTAATTTCAAAAGTGGAGATGATAACCGAGTACATACAACTGCAAGACATGCATTCACCTCAAATAGGAAACTTTCAACATGAAGTATACAGGTTTTCCTTGAACTGAGTTTCGTGGGATTTCAATGTAATTATAATTCCTACAACCTGATGAACAATGAATCAGAAGTGAAACCAATAATGTAGTAGTCCATTTCCAACAGTGAATACATCGAATGGTGCAGTCAAATACAGTGACTAACACTACATTAACGAAGTAATGGCCACTAAAACATTCTTCTGCTTTCCAGAACTAAGAAACCATCAGTCAAAAATTATACTGCAGGAAATAATTCAATGCCTAGTGTGTCAATCTGTCGACCAAATGGTATCTGGAAGAGCTTTCTTTTCTCCAAGGTCAATTACTTCAGTTCCCAAATAACTCGACAACCATTCATTAGTGAAGCCAAAAAAATCGTCCTTAGAATGCTGAAACCCAGGATCTGTAAGATCACAATCATCGCTCCACAGGTTTTACTGTGAACTAGACGTTAATCTAAGGTAGATCAAAATTACATTTACAAGAGCAAAGGTCTACCAAGTTCAAGACCTCAATACCAAACGTATAATAATTTACCTATCAAACTTATTTTTCGGGCAACGAACACTAAAGGTGACCAATACGCCGCAAGCTCTGAACCATGGCGGTCTAAATCACAAAAAAAAAAAAAAATCCCTTTCTTCTTCGCAAGCCCAAATGCCCGGGTCACAATAAAGATGGTACAGAAAAGTTCCTAAATTGAATCTCTGAACTTATATAGGAATTTGCTCTTCACTTTCACTAATTCAAACGAAAATAAAAGCAAGATATTACAATGGGTTTCCATAATTGTTCTATTCTCATAATCAATTCCTCATATATTTACTCGCATAACGCTTTTTAACTCAGGTCCATGAGAGCATCATGACCCACAGAACCACCACTGCTGTCCTTCTGAATGCTGTCATACAAAGCCTCTAATTCAGGCGTGGCCTTGAAATGAGCCACAAATTCAGCAAGTTGCATGTTCTTATCAGCGTCTGGGATGGTGAGCAGAGCGGCCACGGCACGCATAGCTGACCGCTTGAGTTCGTCCTGCTTCTCGTACTCTTGTTTGACCGAATGAGCCTTCACTTTAGAGGTTACAGTGCTACGCAGAGGTTCCACTACCTTCTCAATCCTGGAACAGAATGAGACGTTATAAATTGAGAGTAGTAGTTTTAACCCAATTTCGAAGGATGAAGTATTAGCATATAATTATGATTCTATTTTTTATGAACGAAGAAACAGTTTCAAATGGATTGATGACACAATTAGAATAATAACCAATACCCGATAGCTATAAATAATTAAGAAGCGCTAACCGACGCACTGAAATCGAGATTTTCTTCCTGAGCTACAATCAACAAAAACAACGAAATAACAAAATGTTCTTGACTAACTTTTGGAGCACAGCCTGTGGACAGAGATGTGCAAGTCTGGTGAGCATGAGATACGTAAGCATCTTGATGTCATAGTGATCACGCAGGCCGCTCTCCACATGCTCCAAGAACACGTAAATATCAAGTCTGTCCAAGCAAGTCTCCAGAAGCGTGTACATGCACTCGAACGCTGCTTTGCGGATGTCCAGACCGTCGTCCACAGGGTGCTTGAAGGGGCCCATCTCTACCTCGTGGATTAGCTCTTTCTGATGGAGAATATTAACTCTCGTTAATTACATGGACAAGAAAAATGATTGAGGATTTTTATATCTTTTTCTGCCCACGAAAGTTCTGTATTAAAACAGAATTACGTAATAGAATCACAGATGTTTATTCTCTTATATTCACAAGAAAAATGATGGAGAGAATTTATATCATGGGTACTTTAAGCTGTGAACAATGAACACTTACGAGGTCAGTGTAGGTAAATTATGTTTTCTAAATGACAATAACATTATTTCAAGTCTATCCTTTTAAGCTGTATATTTCCACTTATAGTAATCCTTTTAAGCTGTATTTTCATTTATATATTCATTTCTAAAGGTCAGAACATTCATCCCAACACAGGTTTGATTCACTGTTGATCCGATGGATTACCGATGTCGTACTATAAAAATTTGCTAAAGTACATGTTGCAGCCTAAGTACACGTACCGGTAGCGGCCCATTTCTGGTCTGATTTTTGGATTCAGCTTCATAGCCGTCAGTGTTTGGCTGACGGAGTTACAAATTTCAAAACTACTTTCAAGAGTACGGGCCCTGATCACTTGGAATGACTAACCTTGATCTTGGTCTGCCAATGCCCAAGGCCATGACACTGATTAAGTTACAAATTCGTAACTATTTCTGACAGTACGGTTACTTGGAGTGACAAACCTTGATCTTGCTCTACTAAGACCATGACACTGATTGAGTTGCAAATTCATAACTATTTCTGACAGTACGGTTACTTGGAGTGACTAACCTTGATCTTGGTCTACTAAGACCATGACACTGATTGAGTTGCACATTCGTAACTATTTCTGACAGTACGGTTACTTGGAGTGATTAACCTTGATCTTAGTCTGGTCGTAGAGCTGAGGCAATGTCTGGGGCAAGAGGTCGCGCACGAGGGAAGGTTTGTTATGAGCGGCGCTGTTGAGAGCCACCAGAGCAACACGTCGCACGTTCAGGTCAGGGTCTTCGATGCGCGATAGGAACTCGCCGATGCAGGGACGTAAATGGGCGTCCATGCTCGAAGGCTGAAAAATAAAATGATGCATGAAACGGACGATATATGCATAGTATTATCAATTTATTCACAGGTATTTGAACATAATAAAATATAATAAGTAACTAAGATACGGTAGACCTATTTTCAAATATCTTAATGAAGTTGTAGGCCTTGGCCTCTAAGAGGATACTACACCACAGGTGAAACATTGCACAAAGATCGAAATTGTACTCAATTTATACTCCACTAGAGTCAGAAGTCGCAATAATGGACAGAGATAAGAGAAAAGTTCAAAAGGTACTATGAGAAATTACTATGGAAAAGTGGGAAATACAGTCGTACTAGAGGGTAGGAAGTGTTACATGTACAAAATCCAGCGGTGTGAAGTCATAAGGTACGAAATCCTGAAAGTATGACAAATATGGATGTAGCTAATAGAAATGTTATCAAATCAGGACTTGGTTGTCTATCAATACGTTCACGAGAATTATGCCGACAAAAAATTCCTGATGTCGCCAAGAATGATGTGAACACATTTGATCATAGATGGTGCATTTAAAATTCTCAGTGCAGATCTGAGACTTAACTTCACGGCAATGATTACCCACCTGATCTGCGATAGTGAACTAGACAATGATAACAAAGCAAACTCACCCGATCTGATATGGTGACAAAGCAAACAATGAAGACAAAGCAAATGACTTTGTCAATGATGACAAAGCAAACTCACCTGATCTGATATGGTGAACTTGACGGCAGTGACAGCAGTGGTGCGCATCATGGCGCTGTCGCTGTGCAAGCTCTGCTGCAGCATCGGCAGCAGCTCCTTAGGCTTGATCAGCGTCAGCTTGCCCAGGCACTCGGCCACTACGTTACGCGTGCCTTCTTCCTGTAAAGTCATAATAATCATTTGTACACTTAAATATTGTGCCTCTAACAAAAAATAATTTATTAGGCGAAGTCTCTTAAAGGTATTGAGTATCCCTCCGTTTGACCATTCTCTCCTTTCCTTCCGTTGAAATTTTTTGACAAAAAATTGTAAAGAGAAGCTTTCTATGTTTAATATTTAGTAATACTACAGAGATTTTATTTGCATTTTGCATTTCAAATCAAAACGCATAAAAGGTCCTAATAATTACGTGCTGGCCAAATATCGGCATAAGGAAATGAAAACATTTTATCCTAAGGGGTTGCATACCTCTGCAAATTTTTTTTTTATAAATGAAGCTTTTATTTCATCATCAATGAACAAAATTTATCTCTAAGACTTAGAAAGACTTCAAACCTGGCATTCAGTGTGTCTGAAAAGCTGCGCCCAAATGTGAGACACGAAACCTTGCAGGACTTTCACACCCTCCACAGACTGCGACTGAAGGCTGATTGTCTGTAAACACAATCACAGATGAATATAAATTCATATCAGTATATAATTTTAAACATATTTTCTTCTCAAATCCTAGTATTTAATGTAATTGATAAATAACACAAATCCTAGACACTATAAAATGAGGCTACCAGCATGATCTTCTGAAATGGTGCAAGAAATGGAATCTTCGCAATTCAATCAAACTTTAGCGAATAGTCAGGAACCGCTTTAAGCCAAAACTATAATTTAGTAAAAACATGTATAATCTGCAAGAGGAATTTATAAGTTACTTCATAGTCTAGACAAAGCTAGAATTAAAAAAATAAAATGAAGTAAAAAGTTGAGAGGTCACCTCTTTGAGCGAGTGCAGCAGCAAATACTGTCTCTTAGGATTATTTTGTATTTCATGAAGCACGAAGGGAAGGAAAGTCGTCAAGTTGCCGCAGCTGAGATGACCCAAGGAATATGCAGCAGCAGATTTAACTTCCTCACAATTTGATGATAGTGACGACAAGACTGCAGGCAACACGTCTGGCAGTCCACTCAAGTCCCTGTGTTGATACAAATAACTTAACACACCCATTTGCTACTGAATTTAATACGCCTTAGTATTTTATCAAATTTGTTGATAGTAATAGTAAGTAGTTAAATAATAGTAGGTAAGTAATTACACACACACATTTATTAATGAATTCAATACATCAGTATTTTATCGAATTTGTTAATAGAAGTAAGTAATCATACCCACATTTTTGCCACTAAATAGCCATAACACGACATAGTAATGTATCTAATTAGCCACTTGATTATATGGAGCAGAAACAGAATGAGTATTGAGTAAGAAACATCACGTAAAGTCGCGGAAGATTAGGAAAGTCTGCTATTTTCGTGTAAGCACAACAATGTAATTCCTCAAATAATAAATTATATGAATCTACAAAATATCAATAATCGATAAATACAATAATATAATAATTACCGTATATTGCAATGATAATAAATAATCAGTTATATAAATACTAACAGTAGTTCCTATGATTGATCTGTACTCACACATGTTTGCCGATTTCTCCAATAGCTAGGAGGGAGAAAGCCTGTAGCGTGGGGCTGGTGTGAGGTGACGTAACATCAGACAAGAATTTCTGTACGACATTAATGGCTTCTGATCGTTCAGTCAAAGCCAGAGACGCTACACACGCAGCCATGCACTGGTAAGACTGCTTGTGTATGACCTGCTGTTGGGTGTGCTGGACAGCATGCAAGGGAGACAGCAGGTGTCCCAGTAGCTCCTGGTAAGACAAGCCTGGAATGCGCGCTCGGACGAGGCATTCAAACAAGTCTTGCAGGGACCGCAGACATGTGCCTGGCAGGAAAAATATTTATGACATCAATATTTAAAGAGTGAAATAATTAAAAATCATAACATAAATATACGAGTCAAATGTTCATATTTTCATAATTTTAGTATCAGAAGGCTGAATAAGCTTGTTTCAACACGGGTGGTTATATTCTAATTTTCATAATTAGAGAGGGTCTAGCAAGTTGCCACTCTTGGCAAGTATACAGGACGAGTATAAAAATTTAGAAATGTGTACATTTTTCTAAACTTATCGAATCAGGATGCCTATGGAAAATTCTATACATGTCTATCTAAGCTATTATTCACTCAGGGTTTTCTAATTTTCATTAAATTCTCGGTAAACGTGCGCTAAAAGCGGACTAGGCGAGTACGGACTAAAAAATTCCCATTGAACACCAAAAATAAAATAAGACTAAAAAGGCCAATAGAAGAAATGTTCACCTTGTAGCAGAGGTGATCGCACGAGATGTAGGAGAGGGGGGAGCAGGTGGGGGGAGAGGGGGGCCAGGCAGGCGGTGTTATGGCGCGTGACAGTGCAGAGCAGCGACAGCGTCAGTTGTGTTACGTGTAGGTCACTCTCGCTGATCAAACTTGGTAACTCAAGCACCACCTGAAATGATATTAATACTTGTATTTATTCAATTCAACACGTAACTTTAGCTTTTGATGATTTAAACTCAGGTCACTAATCAGCATCACTTGCTATATTTGAAATTTTACCTAGAAATTTAAGTCAACGGAATACTTGGCAACTCAAGCATTACCTGGAATATATTAATGCTTGTATTTAAAGTCAACAGGAAACTTTAGCTTTCGTTGATTTAAATTTGGGTCACTAATGAGGGTCACTTGATATATTTGAAATTATATAAATTAAAGTAAACGCAGTATACAAAAGTTTTCGATGATTGTAACTTGGCCACTCAAGCATTACTTGAAATAAATTAGTAACTGCATTAATTCAAGTACACACCGAAGATTTGTATGGCGTCAATAAATAAATATATCTGAAAATGAGTCATTCAGGTAACCCAAGTATATATTTACTCATACAGCGTTTAAGACGTGAGATAAAAAAGACAATGACGGTTTGTTCACAATGAAAGACAACACAAAGGCTCACCTCGGCGAGCATCTGCGTGGTGATAGCGTGACTGTAGTTCTGCAGGAGAGTGTCCAGCAGAACAAGGGTCGAGAGTCTTAATGCGCGTTGGTTCTTCCTGAGGAACCCAGCAAGAACCGGCAGCGCTTCCGCGAGGATAGGACGAAGGTCGATGCGCAGCGGCGACGATGCGATCGTCGTCAGGGCTTTGACGGTCGTCAGACGAGTGATCTCGTTCTTGAGACGCTCCAGAAATATAGGAAGACACGTCGCCAGCTCGTCCTGAGATGAGCAATGGTATGGCATTAGTTACAATGATATGTTATGGAGCTAGTTACAGCGCATTGTTATGGTGCGAGTCACGGCGCAATGTTATAGCTTGGGAACAGCACATTGTTATGGTACGAGTCACGGCGCATCGTTATGGTTCTAAGTCAAATAGCTAACGTTTAAAGTAAATGTAACATAAATTATAATTATGTTGAGGAAATAATAATAATCCGAACATAATGAACAAGAATTACAACGCAGAGAATAATAAAATAATTTGTCATTACACTTACCAATGTTCTATTCGAAAGCGCAAAAATATTTCTTGTGTCGTCACGAATAGATATTCGAAAGAAAGAGACTTAGTAATTAACAAATTACCTGAAGATGGTCGCCAAGATGCGAGATTATTTGACCCATGCAAGCAATAGCTCGTTCCTTTACTTCTTGGTCAAGATCCGCAGCTTTGAGCCTGGCCAGAGCGCATTGGTACAGTTGTAACGTGTAGGGTGTGAAGTCAAACGATGATGGCTCCCCTGAAAAGATTATTCCATATTAAACAGTTTGCAGGCTACAAATAATCAAGGCTTCAAAACACAGAATCTTAAGAGACCGAGATTTTTCATTACGTTCTCACTAGACATGGTTATCATCTTGGTCCAAATTGACCGTTTTTAGCACATTTTCTCATTTATGGAAAAAATGCACTATCGTGCTCGCCATGTCCGTCTGTCTGTCTGTCCGTTCGTCCGTGACCTCAAGTTTTCGTCGACGAGAAAATGCGCTCTCTGTCACGCACTGCAGTGAGTACTGAGTTATAATTTTTTTGTAACGTGCGTCGCACCTGAAATATTTTTAGCTTTGGGTCTTTGGGTGTATTTTCCTCGCCCGGGTCTCACCTATCGGTCTGATGAAGCTATTTCTTTTTTGTCTAGCACTCACCTATGGGCCTGACGACCCTGACGACGCACTGCAGCACCAGCAAGGCCTCAGCAGTTATCTTATAGAAGGGCTCAGTAGCGGCGCAGGCAATAATAGGAGGAAGCAGCTCTGCGATGTGAGGCTGGAACACAGCGCCCGGATGCTGCTGTAGCAGCGTGTGAACAAACGACAGAGCCGTGATCTTCATGTTGCTGCTGCTGGATTTGTCACTGGCAAGGAGAATTTTTTTGGGTTAGTCAACTCCTTTCTTTATAAGTTATTAATTAAATCGTTATTAAAGTTATTTATTGAATAATCAGAAATATTCAATTTTGAGCGAGCTCAGTCAACGATGATTGAACTGTAGTTTAAGAGAATTTGTGATCAACTTCAAAACGGCTGAGATTCAACCACAATATTTATGATTCCAGATTTTTTGCTACGAAGAAGAAATCGTTATCTTAATGAATACCTACTTGACAGAAACTTTAAACAAATTAGAAAGGCAAGTCTGGTTGTAAAATGTTCAGAAATAAATAACTAGGTGTCTCCAAGTAAGATGACACACGTGCTGGTGTAAATATTAATTGTAGGCCAGGCAGCAGGACGGGGATGTGGTTGGTCAGGGCAGCAGGCATTGTACCCACCTGAGGCTGAAGTGTAGGCCAGGCAGCAGGACGGGGATGTGGTTGGTCAGGGCAGCAAGCATTGTACCCACCTGAGGCTGAAGTGTAGGCCAGGCAGCAGGACGGGGATGTGGTTGGTCAGGGCAGCAGGCACTGTACCCACCTGAGGCTGAAGTGAAGGCCAGGCAGCAGGACGGGGATGTGGTTGGTCAGGGCAGCAGGCAGGGCCAAGATGAGTTCGCTCAACAGAGCAAAGCAGCCCTGGCGAGTCTTGCTGCTCTTCTCACGCAGCTGCCGGTGAAGCGCCCGCACCAAGAGAGGCACCTGCACACCAGTTAGCATCATTACAGCATCAATTGTTATCATTGCAGTACCCAATGTTGTTATAATTTGTTGCAAAATGCCAGGAGAGAAGGAGCTTGACGCACCTAGTAAAGAACTGTCCAGCAATTTATTTCACTACAGTAACAATCGCTATCATCATTTTCTTCTTTGGTCAAAATGTTGTACATTTATAATATCAAAATGTCTACTTCCAATCCCCACTTCCAATTCGGAATACAGATGAGTCATAGGACGCTGTGTGAGAAATGGAATTTCCAATCACAAATATTGAGATTGGAATAGGCGTCGCGAAACTCGGAACATCCAGACACTTTTTTCTAGTAGAATCGAGAGGAATTTTTCTGGTACTACTGCTCAACCAATATAAATTCAAGATAGCTAATCTAGGAATACCATGAGAAAGAAAATGTAGAAAATCATGTAAGAATCTACGTTTTCACCTACAGTTAAGTCATTCTCTACCCAAAGATATATTTTCTTCTATGAGGTGGAATTGAATCCTGCACATCATACGATGCCCTTCAAAGCACAAAAAAGCGGCAGCTTCCAGAACCCAGCTAAAAGAGAGCAGATAATTACATACTCCATTGGTTGCACTAATTCTGCCTATCACTCAAGGGTTTGTAGGGTTTGTATTTAAATACAAGTCATTCTAGGTTTTAGTGACTAATTCAGCAATGCAAAAAATAGTTTCTACAATAAATCACGTCTTACGATCTCATTAAAGCACACAAAAAATAGAAAGAGTTTTTCTAACATCACCTGACCCTACAAAAAACATCACCGGCTATTCCTTCAGACTTGATATGATATTGACACCGGCTATTCCTTCAGGCTTATCCCTGAGTCATCAATGCTATTACGGTACTATCCAAAGGCCTAGTAACGAGAGTGGTTAATGAACTTGAACAGCTAAAATTCTCCTGCTCCATGGTCAATGAACTAATGGGCAAGTGAATGAGAAATAACCTGTTTTCAAGCTGAGTTACAGTTTTCTCTTCCTCCTCCTCCATGGTCAATGAACTAATAAAAACACTTTTAGTGAGTCTAACAATTAACAGAAAAAATATAACTCGGTACTCACTGCAGTGAGTGACAGAGAGCGCATTTTCTCGTCGGCGAAAACGTGAAGTCACGGACGGACAGACAGACAGACAGACGGACATGGCGAGCACAATAGCGCCTTTTTCCATAAATGAGAAAATGCGCTAAAAAGAAACCAATCCGTTTTTTAGCAGGGCTAGAGTTTTCACCTACTGCTCCGTGGTCAATGAACTAATGATATAAATTCATATTATTAGTAAGTCCAATATTCAATTGAATAAGAAGCCCAACCTGTTTTTTAAGCAGAGCCACGGTTTCTTCCTCCTGCTCCATGGCAGTGTCGGGCGAGGGAGCCAACACAGCAGCAGCAGCAGCGGCAGGGGCGGCAGCGATTGCAGCCGAGGCACCCTTGAGGCAGGGGCGGCCATGAGAGGGGCGGCTCTGACGCAGTAACGCCGTGTACGCGTTGAAGATATCCACCTTCACGTTCTCCTCGCGCTCTGCAACATTGTTATTTTCATTATTTGTAGGTATCATTGTTATTAATGATGACAATAATCGATTGACAATTGGCAACAAGCCAACATGGCTTTTTCAAAGCTGACATCCCTAGGTTTTATCATAAATTATAATTATTATTATTATCATTGTAGTTCTTTGATATTATTGTTACACGTTACCCATTGAGGGAACTAAGGAAAAACAACGAGTCAAGAGAGTAGTAGTTAAATTAAATCTAATGAAATTAAATTGAACCATTCACAAAATGAGTGGGAGATCTTTATCGGCATGAGTTTAAATGGTCAACTAAATAACTATCAACTTATCCAGCAGTAATAGAATATTATTTAACATCAAGGTAAAACTTTTCTAATACCCGCTCCGTATTATTCACTTTCTCATCTAAATAATCAACGAACCATGTAGAAAATAGAGGAATATAATACATAAATACTTCAATCTTTAAAAGCTACTTGATGTATTGCAACGAGTTTGACCAACCTTTGAACCTGGCAATAAGCTGAGGCGAGACCGTCGTGAAGAACTGCAGGAGCATCTCGTGACGCGTAGACACGATCGCCTCGATGCACTTAGCTGAAGCACGTCGCACCTGAAATGTTTCCACAAGTACCTATACGTTTACAACAACAAAACTAAATGCTACAAGTAATGCAACAATAACGAAGTTCTATCAAAGCTCAACTTATTGTTTGCAAAATTACGAGTCATCTTCTCATGAATCTTCTTTAATGTTGAACATTTTCACGTTATTATACAGGTATTACATCGAAAGAATTATAGCAAAGTCAGAAATAAAAATACCGGTAGCTATCACTTGAAATCCAACAATAGTCAACTTACACCAGAAGTCGACTTTAGTGACTTTCTTCCATTCATTGACTTTAGGATTACTACAAAAGGATTACTTAAATTAACAAATAATAAGAATTTCTTTACCAGGGGCTCTACTAGGTATAAATAAATAGGTACGAGTCTGCAACTCCATCAGCCAATCACTGACTGCGTTTCAAACTAAACTCACCAATCCCAGACAAGAAATCGGCAAATACGTCTACCAAAGTAAGATTAGATAGTATAGCCCCAGAGATTGTTTTCTTACCTTCCAGCTCATGTCATCGTCATCTGAATACTCGTCATCTTCTTCTTCATCTTCGTCCTCGTCCAGGTCCATGGTTCCATTGCCTTCTTCGCTGTAGTCGTCATAATTATAGTTGGGGTCGTGCGTTAGAAGCTTTAAACAAATCTCGAGAATCTGAAACAATCGAGAACATTAAGCGAGTAAACAAAGAGCGTTTCATCACGATGTAAACTTAGAATGTTTCATCATGAATGGAAGTAATATGAGTCAGCTCATTTATGGTTTTCTTATAAGAATGCAGCCATCAGAATGTACCTATAAATGACTGTGTAATCAATAGAATTTGAAAACTAATTGATTGAAAATTCAGTCTTATTTTGCTCAATACTTCGAGCATGAAATGATAACAATTTTAATTTCTAAATACTTCAAAGTAAAGTACCGGTAATTGAAAACCTTGAAAAAAAATTGTGACGCCAAAGTGAATAGCAAACCTAAGATGCGAGACGAGATCTTTTCAGATGCAAATTGCAGCACTTCATGAACAAACCTGAGGAATATGTGGGGTTATATCTTGAGGGCAGCGCAGCACAAAACTCTCGAAGGCACAGATGCAGTGCTCGCGTAGCTCGTCGTCTTCAGCAGCAACATACACTATCAACTCGGGCATCACCACCACGAGTTCGTCTCCAAAACGGTGCCCTGCCTGGCGCCTTTTGAAGAAATTCACACGACTGAACTAAAAAATTTTGCTTTTCAACGGAAATTACAAGATTCAAATAGAAACATTGTGCCTTTTGAATAAAATTTTTGGATCTCACTAGAAACATAGCATATTCTATGACATTTACTAGAGTAAAATAGTAACGCTGCACTTTTTGGAGAAAACAATTCATTTTGTCTTGAAACATTTGAGAATTTAATGTTAAAAAAGCATGTAAAATAGGAAACAACAGAGCATGAGTTTATGGAACAAAATTTGAAGGTCATGAAATCCGTCTTGCAATTCAATTCCATAATTTGCAGTTGTGAACAGAAGGTAATGAACATCATACATGCTAAATCTCCACTACATCCAATTAGCGCAAGAAATTCCACATTATTCAATTTGAGTGATAATTCAGCATCGTCTGCCATAAGCTAGAAATTTATAAAATTAATACATCAGACTTGACAGCCAAAAACTGAAACTACATGGTTTTGTATAACTACAGTACATGTTCAACAACACAAATGCTAAAAAAAATTGTGCAATGGCTGCCAAGCACTAAATATATAAACTTATACAATAGCTGCCAAACACTAGACAAATAAACTTATGCAATGACTGCGAAGCTCTAAATATATAAACTTGTACAATAGCTCCCAAACACTAGACAAATAAACTTGTACAATGGCTGTCAAACATTAGATATCTAAACTTATGCAATAGCTGCCAAACACTAGATATATAAACTTATGCAATAGCTACTAAACACTAGATATATAAACTTGAGCAATAGCTGCCAAACACTAGATATACATATAAACTTGTGCAATCGCTACCAAACACTAGATATATGGTATAAACTTAAGCAATAGCTGCCAAACACTAGATATATAAACTTGTGCAATAGCTACCAAACACTAGATATATAAACTTGTGCAATAGCTGCCAATCACTAGATATATAAACTTGTGCAATAGCTGCCAAAAACTAGATATATAAACTTGTGCAATAGCTGCCAAACACTGGATATGGTATAAACTTACACAATGGCTGCCAAACACTAGATATGGTATAAACTTACGCAATGGCTGCCAAACACTGGATGTATGTGCGCAAAACAGATGCTTGCTGTGGGGAGCACTTGGAAATGGAGTCAACATTGTCTGCAAGTTGGGTGTGCACAAGGTCCATCAGAATGGTGAATGTGTTTTGCGAACAAGAGACGACAAGCAGAGATAAAGCCACGATACTGCGCTTTCGAACCGCCAGTCTGAAAAATTGAATATATTTGATACTCAGTAACAGAACTTGGCATTGTTTTTGTACTGAGTGCATGACATTATTGTTCATTTAATCAATATGCTGTTGATCTGAATGCATCACACGTGTCGATTACATCAACTTAGCAAAAAATTCTACCTACCGAGGGGAAGTGAGCTGGGGGAGGACAGCCCCCACAATGGTCGGGTGGTATGGCAGCAGTAAGGAACCGAAACGTGATAGCAGGTCACACATGATGTCCAAAGCCTCAAGCTGAACTCCCACATCAACTTGCTGCAAGCAAAATAGAAGAATTACAATGCAGTTAAATTATATGATTAAAAAAAGCCCACAAGAAGCTTTGAAAAAGTGTTTCCTTTATTTTCATGAACAATTAGCCCTCAATCTGATAATAATTCTTGTTTCCTGGTCTCCAGATACAAAAAAAAAACATTAACAATATAACAATACTACAATAGATTGTGAAGTTGTCATTCCCCATAAAAATAAACATACATAAATAGTTATTGCTTCCAGAATACTGTGCAGTGTTTGAAAATCAAGGTCATGAATCATGATGTCTCAAATCAAAATGTTAATAAAACAAAGCCAGTAACAAGATAAACAATACAAAAATGATTAAATTAATTCTCTAATAATGATATTCTGGTGTAGAATAGCATACTTTAAGTATAGCCTCAGAGAGCCGATCTGTGACCCTTTTGCAAATGGTGGTGACGAGGGTGGTGGCGTTTGTAGGTAGTTCATTGATGACAGTCTTGAGGGCAAGACTACTCATGTCTCTCAGCTGCTCACGGTCGCTCAACATGTGGTCGCACAAACAGTCAACAATGTTCAGGATGTGAGAATCTTTCACTTTCTTCACAAGAGGACCCAAGCTGAAAAATGAGAAAGAATATAATTTCATGAGTGCAAATAAGGTTACACTTAATGATAAATAGCTAACAAGAAAAATAAATTGAAGACTAAATTAAGAACAGTGGATGCAAAATTGAATTGAATCCTGAAAGAAAACTATTTTAGTCCATGTTATAAATAAACTGAAGCCTAAAACAGTCAAATGTCACCAAATTTTAACAACAATAATGTGTTTCATGTAGAGTCTCACAACTAATGGTTTTAACCAGTTTGCAGAAAAAGTCAACAGGTATAGTGAGTGAAAAATTAGGCAGAAATTTGAGAAACTTCCAATCCATCCGGTAAGAAATTATCAGTAACAATCTTGTTACAAGATTAATGCTACAATCTGAGATGTTTGGAGATACGAGTTACCCAAGGAAAACCCGTGAATTGGAAGAATGAGTTACAAAGTATGAGGCAATGAAAAAAATATTATCAGAAATATATTATTTGATTATATTAGATTAGATCAGATATATTATTATTAAAAAATATTTGAACAAGATTGCTCGACAAATTCAAATCACATTGAAAATTAATTTGGAATTTATCTAAGTTGCTATATTTACCTATCTAAAAGGTTCTACTTGTCAACTATAAATACTAAAACTTCAGGACAGGAATTTATATAAATGAATAATGATAAAAAAATTATATTTCTTTGAAACTTTGATTTCAAATTTTTTGTTAAAAGTACCGGTATGGTATGTGTAGCTTTTAAAAATGTGTTCATTCATTTACAAAAACTTGCCACTGTTAAACCAAGACAAAGCATACCTACCAAAGTTCAAACAAGAACCTATTTTTTGACACATTTCAGCCAAGTTAGGATCAATACTCACCATTTAACAGCCAAATTTTGGACTTCACCATTTTTATCTTCAAGAAGCTTGAGAATCATTCTAACCACTTTCCTCTCACTATCATCGTCCAACTTGATCGAGTCCTTTTGAAGCTCCGCCATCAAGTCATTTGCAGCCATGAACCGGTAATCTTTGTCAATGCTTGTCATCTGAAATGATGCAATATTTAGGTAGGTAGATTGTTAGTTAAAATATTCCAGAATTCATGCATAACAAATTTGAAAAATACAGAATATATACCTATATATTCTATTCAAATGCAATTGTTGGATCTGCTTCTTTTTCACATAATAGAGCTTGGCATTGCTCCAAGACAAAATTGGAAAAATCCTGCTCATTACTAAAAGCTTGCTGTTCCAAAGCTAGTAAGGAAAACCTTTACTCTCTGAACTGCAACTGGATTTTTTAGCCATGATTTTGCAGATTAACAAGCCATGATTCCATTTCCTTGAGGCGCCAAATACCATTTTCTGCCCATAAAAAGCCATTTATGAGCAACAAACTCATTTGCATTTTGCATCATCCTGCGCATTGTGCTCATATTATTCCAAATCTCTCATTCACCTTAGAAACAGCAATAAGAACATTTCATTTGTCCTTGCTTTAGAGGCAACTAAATGTATGTGATAATGTATTGCAACATTTTAGTTGAAGAATAAACAGTTATAAATTATAATGCAGTCTGATATCAGTGATATGACTGCATATACCTATGAAATTTCAGATTAAATTAAACGTTTTGGGTTCATTATACTCAACTCATTATGCAGGATATTTTTGGCACAAGTAGCATGGTATTGAATTGCTAGTTAGAAAAATTTTTTAAAGTGACATGATTCTGAACCAAAATTTTTTTAATCAAACAATAATACTTCACATTAGAGCTGCAGGATTTCATACCACTGATACCAGCTGATATTATATGCTATTATAGCCACAATATTTCAGAAAAAAGTAGGACTATTCCCAATCCAAATAGATCCAGTGATAATTTCAATAATTAGGTATGGAACTTTAAGGGGACCGACCTAGCTAAAATTTGAAAATTTTGAGTTTTTCTGTTTCTTATCTCATCTTAAAGGTTGTTTTCTTGCGCATCGAACGATATAAGTATCGTCCCTGTGCGTCGAAAAATGACTTTGTGACAGCTCCTCAAAGGGAGGTGGGTTTTAGGTCCCTTAACAAAACTGTACGAGGATAAATAAAGCGCTGGTCACTCCACAAAGGAAGGCCTGGCATTAAGCAGCCAATCATGGCACTAAAGTGGGCATAGTCTTGTTTGAAAGAGCACTTTCTTACGCATCGATTGGTGGTACACCCATCTTTGTACCTCCTTTTTTTACTGCACCACGCCCCATAGAACGGGGGGGGTGGGGGCGGCCTTCAGTATTTCTTAAGGCAGTAATTATGGGGCGTGACTTCCAAAACTGCGAGTTGAAGCCAAACCTCTCAGTGCCCATCATGACAGCGACGTGAGAGGTGTGCAGCCAGATGCTCCATGCGTTCTTGAATGGTTTTAAGGCTAAGTTACGGTATCCTGGCTGCGTTGCGACTCTTTTACGTCTATTTAAGTGCTCGCGGGCACACTTTTGGGCGTACTGAAAACCTCATACTGCTCTCACGGCAAATCTATCTCCTCCTACAGTTTTCAAGCTACAGCAATGAGACATATACCGTTCGATTCGTAAAACCCCTTTTTAGCCGTTTTCTATGAATTTCACGTTTTCTATCAATTTTTTCGAAAAATTCATAGGAGCAAAATGTTCTTATTTTTACATTTTACGTATGTATGTGAAGTTTCATGATGATCGGATAATAACTGTAGAAGTTTCTCCGGAGCTAGGTCGGTCCCCTTAAGCCTTGACCTATGAGGCTATGACCATCAAAATGATCACAGTGTACTTTATGAAAAATATATAGATTCTGATTTATTTAGTGTAAATTCTGCATTGCCAATTGCCAAATATAAAGAAAAGTTATGATAATAGTCACACTCGCAGCTTGAAAATTAGAAAGAATAGGCTAGCTAACAATAGAATTTTTCAAAACATAGGTATGCTCAAGTCTCAACATTCCCAATTGGTTATTGGCCTGCAACATAATCTACCATTGGGTTAGGTACAACTTACAAGTAAAAACAAAAATTTTTTCTTTTAATTTCCAACTCGGTAATTGAATAGAACAACATTATGAAATCAAAGACAAAAGATGATTAGGCTAATTACTATTTTTGCAACCTTTTCGTTTTTAGTTCATTTGAAATTTTCTCTGCATCTTTATGCCATAAAATAATTTAAAAATTAATTTCTCACCTTTTCGAGGAGATTTGATATATGATACGAAACGGCCGCCATTGTGAAGGTTTGTAGTGAAAAATGCGAATAATAATGTGGGCGCGTCTTTTCGAAACAACGACGACAGTCAATCTCACGACACACTGGACATCTCAGCAACAACAACAATGCTTGGTCTCCCGATCGTCGTTTGATAATAAACGTTATGTATACAGTTCTGTTATATATACTTATCATCTCTTGGTACGTAATCTCCTCCATGGTTGGACTATGATCTCCTCATGTTCTACGGATATTTTTTTAAATTCATTCACTGTCACATGCTTTTGAAATTTTTAGACTCCTTATTTCTTGTCACATTTTTATCCATTTATTTGACTATATTGTATGCAATCTCACACAAGACATTTTTTTCTAAAATCAGTCAAGCAGCCTAGTAACCTATCAATGCCAGTCAAAATTCATTAACGATGTTACTGCTTCATCACAGTCAGCCTTTAACATTGGGGCAATTTTAACGTAACAAATGTATTGTAATAGTTGATGGCCTCAGGTTCCATCGAACAATTGATTAACTATTGGTCTTTTACGATTGTATAAAGCGGTGACAGCGTTAATTAGGCCGTTTAACCTGTCGCCGCTTTAGAACATCGCAGAAAATTTACCGCTTATTGCGGTCTCGAACTCGCAACTCATTGGTCCAATTATGCTGTGCTAAACCGCCCGGCCAGAATTTTTGCTGGTACAGGGGATCTAACCCATAGCTAGCTGCTCCAATCCTGGTACTATATAAACTGTTACCACTAAAACACCCTGGGCCCCACTGGGCGACCCTGGGCTAACTAATGACTAATTGGGAATGAACTTTTCAGAGACTACGTCAGGATTTGATTATGGAAACTAGCTTATGCTCCTGATTTCTAAATATTTTCTTTCATCTTAAAACGTGGGAAAAGTTTTAGGAACACCGTGCCAAAAAGGATTTAAACCAATCCACCTTCTGGCTGGGTTTTAATCCATGTTGCTGACCCTGCTGCAAGATCTTAACCGATGGGGAGAAGGCAGAGAAAAGTAGTAGGAAGGTGCCCTGATTTATGGATCTTCCAGGCTTGGCAATTGGGGGGATGTTTTAGAAGTTGATACATATGCTCAGGATGGAGGCTGCGGAATGCTGAAAAGGTGTTTCAAATCAAGGACCGAACGGCTGCCCGGGCCCATAGCTGATGAAATTTAGCGGTGCTTATAGTGAGCTTTATTTAGGCGGTAGTAAGTGGAAGGGAGTCTTTGTCTAGTGATTGTTCAGACCGGATCCACTTGCTGCATGAAGCAGAGGATGATGAGGCCGTGGTCGTAAGAAACAGTAAACATGAATCTCTTGCAAAGACGGTGGAGATCTGAACCTGGGAGTTGATTTGAGGTAAGATTTGACAGTATAGGCTGGGTCGGAGGGCAGGTAGTAGCGCTTTGTAGCTAGGTAGCGCTGCACCTGTAGCGTCTCGCAAGGCGCGCTCGACCGGTTTCCTTTTCATGTAACTGCATGGACATGGAAATCTCCAAACTGCGATCAGAAAGACGAGCATCATAAGGGTCAAGGGTTCTGATCATCCCGTTACCTAACGTGTAATCAAGAGCATTGTGTCGATTGTGAGCACTGGCCCGCCAGAAGCGAGTTTCGAACCTAAAACGGTTGGTAAACATGACTTTAAACGCCCGAGAGTTTTTATATATTAGCTATTTTTAGTTTTCAAGAACTCGTGTTCGATAAATATTCTGCTTACTATTAAAATTTAAAAGTTATTTCGTAATCATACCTCATCAGTGCTATCCGAGCACCTACATCTAGCTTGCATGCAATGTATTATAGATTAAGAATCCGGTTCCTGCTGACATATGCATTTTAAATGGAACCGACGCTCATTACTAGGTTATTAAAACTCGAATGTTGGAGAATTGTTAGGAAGTAAATAAATAACTTCAAAAAGGCATGTCCTCCGCGCAGCTAAGCAGATATTAGTTTAATCCTTCATTATTATCTATCACATAATAATGACGATTACGTTCATTAGCTCAGTTTAGAAAAGTTTTTTTCGAAAAGTCTGCTGTCGGACAATTGACGACGTAACTAAAACGTGCCTTACTGCAAAAGTAATTGTTTCACTTTAAATCAGTCTAATTTTTGCAGAGTATTGGTATAATGATAAATCCCTCTCTGCAATATTCTTGATCATAAATTTTCAAAATTTTATTTAAAAACATAAACAAAATAATCCAAGCTAAAAATACCATTGAAAATTATCCCAGTAAAAAATCTTGAGCATAGGCAGCATTAATCATAATTTCCTTCTAACATTATTTCAATCATTTTTTTTTCACTAGAATCGTTACATGTAATAATTTTATTCAATCATCGTCTCCGCTGCTGCTGATTACTTCCTCTGTCAAGGTCGACTTCAGCGCGCGGCCACCGCATAAGTTCCACTCAGTCTTCTTCAGTCTGCCATGCCAGATGCGCTGCATTGGCTTAGGTTCCCTTTCATGTGTCTTTCAATTAAAAGATTTGTTTGTAATATACGATTAAGTTGAATGAACGAAAATACATGCGTCATATATAATGGCTTGGCTGTGGAGTCCGCCATTAAGTCTGCCATGCCAGATGCGGTGCATTGGCGTAGGGTCCCTTTCATGTGTCTTTCAATTAAAAGATTTGTTTGTACTATACGATGAAATTGAATGAACGAAAATACATGCGTCATATATAATGGCTTGGCTGTGGAGTCCGCCATTCAGTCTGCCATGCCAGATGCGGTGCATTGGCGTAGGGTCCCTTTCATGTGCCTTTCGATTATAAGATTTGCTTGTAATATACGATTAAATTGAATGAAAGAAAATACCTACGTCATACATAATGGCTTGGCCGTGGAGTCCGTCATTTTATTTGCCATGCCAACGGCGGTGAATCGACGTTTTTACAATTTACCATGCCAACGGCGGTGCATCGACGTAGAGTCCCCGTCCTGCGTCTTTCAAATATGCAATTTGTTAATAAAATACGAAGACATTGAAGGAATACTTATGTGGCCAGGTAATGTAATTCATATGGCATGGCTGTCTCGTCGACATTCAGTCTTCTTAAGTCTGCCATGCCATGGGCATTGCAACCTTCCATGCGTCTTTAAAAAACACGGTTTGTTTGTAGAATTCAATGAGATTACAAAAAATTCATAGGCCATATTGAGATTTTAGTCGAGCGAAATGTATGGATACACAGTGACATTTTATAATGACCATTCCATTCACATATATTCATTTATATTATTCATGCGTCGTGATGCGATGCCCAAATTTTATATTTTGTCAAAGTGAAATTTTGATCGAATAGTTTCAATAAGTGCCGTGTGGATTGTTCGATTCTTCAGAACAATTAGACATTGTTTTATTTTTACACAATTGTACCGCCATATGGAGCGTGCTGCCTTTTCTCAGAACCAAAGTCTTCATTCAAATTATTTTACAATTCATGCCTTAAGCTCAAAATTTTAACAATAATTTTTTCATATGCATTTTAAAAATCATGAACTACCCTAATCGTTTGTGTCGAAAATCATATTTGATGTATTCTTGGCTGACAAATATATTACAACAATTTTATGCTAATATCACAATTATAGCAATAATTATCTATGTATATCATCACAATTATAGCTAATGAATCTAGAGAAATATCATCTCGAACCAATTTGCTGTGAGTTATAAAAATCAAACATGACCAGGTAATTTCATTAATATCATTCACATCAAATTTCATCGCACACCTGTAAATTTTGGCACATTATTGAACGGCCGACCCAAAACAATCAAAAGAACTATTGGCGACAACCTCGGAGATGAACCTTCTAGAAACAACCAATTAAAATGAAATAAAGCAACGAATTGCGTTCATTTTATATATTGAACAATTCACTTGAACAGATCCTTCAGATTTAGAATAATTCTACTTATATAACAGCAGCAAATTTTCGGGATATACTCTTCAATTAAGTATTGGAAATGGCTCCATTTAATCAAAATTGCGCATCAGAACATTTGTACTTCCATGTATTTATTATCATATTTTTTTAATATTTCCAAACTAACTTTCAAGTTGAGGAGCCTGATTGATCTCGAATTACTACTAATGACTCAATTACTATTTTTGATGTGCACACCGAAAAGGCATGAGAATATACAAAAGTATTATGTAACGCTTGAGAAAAACGTAACGCCTATTATGTAACGCTCCATTTTCCTTTTAAATAAGCACGACAATTTTTGCGAGAAATATAGTTCCTGAACCTTGACCTTGTATTTATTGACTATCTCTATCTGTACTTGAGATTTTAAGATTCAAGACTTTAGATAAAATTGATGCAAATCCATTTTAGCGTTAATTGTACAGTAGAAGATTGACGGCTAAATCCATCAATACGTGTACGAACAGACTTCATTTCCGGTACGCAGAAAAAAAACAGCTCACGTAGTCCAAGCAAGTTCTTAAGGTCTAAAACATATGAATGAAGGCTAAATTTTAAATTGCAGCTGCATATGGTAGAGTAGTAGACCTTGTCATCGAGCGATCCAGTTATCGAGTGATGGCTGATAAATCAGTTCGCGGTGATCATGGCAGGGAAATCATTCAATCAATAACATAATTATGTTGTATGTATATATAACATTTGCCGATTTTAGGGGTAGAATTTCAATCAATAAAATCAGAAAAGCGTGTAAATGTGATTAGGAATGGTCATGGATACCAATTTACCTATGACAACATCGAGACGCTAACTGATTTGAGTTGTTACAAGCGAACAAAAGAAAAACCATTTAATCCTAAGAAAATTAGGTATTCCAAGAAGATAGCTTCAAATGACATCACATTCATTTTTGTGAGATTCATATATAATTGTGTACACGCATTGCGATGAATGAAAGTGTAAGCATAATTAATCAAACTTTATTTATACTTTGTTGAAAATTTAATATATAGTTTGATTGATGTAGAAAATTTAGTGGGTATTTAATAGTTTTTTTTTATCTATGAGTTAAAATTGTTATGAATTTTTATAATGGAGTATAGAGCCATTATTATTTAAAATGCAAACAATCGAGTCCTTCACTGGCAACGAAAGAAGTAGATTGATGAAACAAACATGGC